TGCACAATAATAAAAACGGTGCAAACTTCTCATTGGATTTTCATTCATTCATACCTATTAGTTTTGAAATCAGTTTTTTACTTCCTGTCTGAAACAAGGCCACAATCACATTGTTCACAAACAACAAAGAGAAGCTTTCAGTGAAAATTTATCCCAGATTTAGAAGCTTATTCCCCAATTTCCTCCTGCTTTGTTTGCTGCGACCAGCCTCTGCTGTCTGCACATATCTGAATCACAAGCTAACAGCAGCACTCGTACAGTTACGCTCCTACCTTCACCTTTAGGTGCAGCTCTTTTTTTAAATGGCGAGAGGAACAATACTCAGCTTGGTGGACGGATGAACAGCAGATGCAGCAGTGGGAGGATTAATGGAGACGCATTGTGTGGTCACATCAGGGTGGATTATAATGACGATGGTCATGTTGCATACTTCTAATTGTGGAGCAGTGATAAAGGAAAATCTGACGAGGGTAAAAACATGGAATGTATTTTTTTATTTCTATTATAAAACACAACTGTGTCTTTTATTCTAGACGTCATGAATAGTTGGACATTAAAGTAAGTTTAAAGATAAAAACAGGAATTATTAACAATCACCAAAACTCAACGCAGTTGATCTGACCAAACTAACATTAGGCTTTTCAAAAGTGCTGAGTCATCCCTCATTTCTACATATATTTCTTTCAAGCATTGGTTCTTTGGGCATTGTGAAGGTTTTTACTTAGACTTCTCTTTCTTTCTTTGGTGAGGGAGTATTTTTGCTTTAAGTTTGACCAATTTCAGAGGAATGCTTTGATCTGTGAGTCACTGAAGGTGTGGAACACTGAAAAACATGCTTTAATGAGTATTTCTGAATATAATCTGGCTGAACATGATGATAGTCTCCTACACATATCTCCTGCTTTAGCTTCTGATTGAAAATAGACGTTGAAACAGAATCACCATTGAACGTCTTAGCTAGCAGAAGCTAACTGTTAGCATTTACAACTCAACCACATGACAGAAGCTCCTCCAGGCTTGTGTTACTTGTGGAGATAAAACATCCATGCCTCAGAGCAAACAAAGTTGGTGGTAAAGTCGTGTTGCTGTTAGCCAATCCGAGGCAAGATGTCCAAATATCAGCAAATAAGACCCTAAATCCTGCCATCTGCTGACACTCTCTGCTGCAGCAAACTTGTTTGTGCTGATCCAGGTGCTTCTGGGCGTTTTTACCCCTGGAGTACGACTTACAAGTCATTGATTCCTACCAGAGACCACTGCAAACGAATTTATTGATGTGTTCAACACATTTAAGGCACAAATTACAATTCCTTGGAGAGATTAGACCCTAATGAATTGTGACCGAGCCGACAGAGCATGCTAACGCTAATATTTCCTCATTTGGATTTTATTGTGATTTTCAGCCTCCTGCTCATGTGTGACACGTGTTTAACTCGTTACATGATCTAAAGGTCAGCAAATGGTTTTATATTCAAGATTGATATGTTTAAATGCTAATGTCAAAGACACAATTATAAAGCATTACATCAGCTAAACTTACAATAATACAACAATAGCAACAAAATGTAATTGGCACTTACCTCCTCCAGAACTTAGATCTTCCACAAGGAGGCAGAAGACTTGAACAGAATCGTGTTAAGAGACAGAGGTCTACATAATTTAAGAAACTGTTGCTTTGTGCAGAAATATCTCATTACTTATTTAGGTTGATAATTCAGGTTTAGAAAGCGAAAAATTTGCAATGCAGGTGCTGTAAGACAATACATTTAAACATAGTGGATTAAAACAAATTAAGATTAAGTATAACTGGTTAGTTTTAAGAGAACATGTCATGATAAGAACATATTTCCCCCCCAAATGTTTTTTTCTATTGCCTCAGATTCAGTGAAATGATTTATTTGACAGTTTATTTACTTTGACTGATTTTATTTTTTAAAGGTCATGGAATTGTTTAGATTTTAAATCTCCTATGAACTGCATGTCCTCAATCTACTGTCTGTTAAATGAAAAGGGAGTTAAAGGTCAGACTTTTTGATCAATAGAAACAAAAAAGAAATGGATGGAAGTATTTTTCCCATTTTTGCATTCACACTAAGTCAGTAGTTAACATGTGTTGTTTACATTAATAATAATTTAAATTTAATTTATATTTTAATCATGAAAAAGCTTCATTTCAGCACCATTAAAAGACATTATTTAGTAACTGTGAATCATTCTCTTTGCTGCCTTATTTTTTTATGTTTTTAATCAAGAAAATTTTGTTTGACTCTTCAGAGAAAGATAAAAAAAGGTTTTGGCTTTCAAGCTGAAGCTTAAGTTGTAACCACAAACAAAGATAACCTTTGACCCTCACAAAGAGCAGATAAAACTGGAGCACATCTCTGCTCTTTGTGAAGACTCACTTTTTTGTAGTGGCTCTCCGTCTCCCCCATCCATATTTATGAGTGAGCTCATGCAAACAGGAGTCAGGCAGAGAGTGAAGAGGAAGCTGTGAGGTCCAGTCGGCTGCGAGTGGCAGTCAATCGGCAAAGACACAGACACGATCTGCAGCTCAAGAAGACGAACGACCGATGTGACAGTCAGGATGGATGAAGGCTGCTTTTATGTGACTGTAGGGGGTTTTACAGACGACAGGTAGATTTAACGGGTGCTGCTGGAGCCTACAGACATATCAGTTTGACACATCTCTGCAGAAATCATCTTTCTATGACTTTCTTTGGGCTATAATATAAGAAAAAGGTTGGAAGTTCTTTCTTCTTTTGTCACATTTTGGGCTTTTGTTGATAAGGACAGACAGAAGATTATACAAAAAGTTTTATATGAGAGCAGAACAAGTCTGGTCCATTAACGGCTCTCAGTCGTGGGGTGGGATCTGCGATTGTCTTTCAAACTGTCCCCACATGCTATTGGATAACAAACAACATAACATACTCACCACTATAGGTGTCAGTCAACGAGGCAGTCCGCCATGCTCCGTCAAAGAAGATGCCAATACATCCTTTTCCTAAATAAACTTAAGTGCCTCTATCTGCTCCTGACTCAAAGAAAAGCCCCAATCAAACGAGAAGTCGCCATCTTTGTTTTCAGAACTGATTGGCCCACCTGGCTGATAGAGCGCTGTGATTGGACCGCCACAGATGTCAGTCAATGGGGTAGTCTGCCATTACATCATGGAAGAACTACATAAAACATAGAAAAATGTAACACAATACATAATTTCTTAAAATAAACGTGCTGTGATTGGCCCACCTGGCAGATAGAGCGCTGTGATTGGTCGGCAGCAATCCTGACTGGGCTTTCGAAGGTTTCACTGGAGCGTTTCTAGACCGACATGCAACGCAAATTGATTTTGCTTCGGCAAACGACGGTCTAGATCCTAGGCTAGGACAAAAACACTTTACAGCAGAGAATGTGAGATTTGTTTTATTTCTTTTTTGGATTTATCTCTGCACACATTTTATTACGTTAGCAATGAACTGGTGCAATCTGGGTAATGGACTTTCTGGGAGCAGCTGTGAGGTGCATGTCTCTTTATAAATGTAGAAAACTTAAGTGACACAACAGGCTGACTCCTTCCCACATTACGGCCATGAAAAGCCAGACCTTCTCTCTGATCTGCAGTTCCAAATTCAAACCCAAACGTTGCTCTTTTGAGTTTTCAAACTCTTCATCACTGAAAACCTCAGAAGAGAGAATTCAGAGCTTTTCTCTGCTGTAGATGGCTCATGAACAACCTCAGTTTGGAAAAGTAGAGATTAATTCTGACCAGATTGATGAGCAAACGGCTAGTCTATAAAGGGCCCAGCCCACTCTACCTCCTGAGCTGCTACTGCAGCAATACTTTTGCCTCTGGCTTTTCCTGTACACCCATCATGTTTCTGTCAATAATTATGTAAAATTAACAGCTTTTTCACGTACTGCTGGTCTGAGCCGATTTTACTGCAGGTAAGACACTGATTACTAAGAGCAAGTCCACAGAACACCAATTAAAATCCAAACTGTCCTTTTAAATCAGCAGCTGCATTGTTCCACCTGTGCAGGAACATGAAAGGGTGACATTAAAATAATTTTCTGCGGATTTTCCTATAAAAAGGGTGATTGTCAGGGACCGAGCAGTAAAACTCCAGGACAATGGTATAAAAAGAATATTTTCTCCATTTATTTCATAAAGAATTAAACAAAATCAAAACAAAACCGGGCCCAAAGGAAAAAATGGCCACAAAAATTAACCTTAACTAAAAGTAACAAGCAAGACTCTCCAAAAACTGAGACACACAGGGGAATTTATACACAAAGGCTAGCCTACAGACAACGAGGAGGGGAGAGACAGGGGAAACACTAAAACAAACAGTAAATAAACTTAGGAAACTAAGTCAACAAAGTATAACTACCACAAAAAAAGTTTAACTAATACATCCTACCAAAATCTGGTAAACTCAATAGAGCTTCAGAACATCTGGTTTCTGGTTTCTTCATTATCACGCTCCCTGCTTCCAGAAGCCAGATGGAATGTTCCACTTCCTGCATGGATTTACACTGGGCGTGTCCCCTCTCTCTGCCAGTTCATCCAATCTCAGAATACAAATGAAAATAGTTAATGATCAAAAACTATGTGTAAGATAAATTACTGAATGTGTGCACCCATTAGTAATCTTAGAATATTGCAACAAAATGAAATAATAAACCAGCGTGTGGAAAAAGATATTTAAATAATACTAACACTGAGAAATGGCTGGAGGAACCTCCACAGTGATGTTTTTAAACGTAAACACCAAAACTTTTGTAAAGTATTTTAATGTCAATGTGAAAATCCACATGAATGATTCCTGCAGCTTTATTCCATCTGTCAACTTATCACTAAAACCAGCATGGATGTTTATTCAAAATTAGACGCTGCTTGTTTAGACAGTTTGATTTGAGCCTTAATAGAGGAGGATTACATGAGATTTAATTACCAGCTGTCTGACTGACAGCTTGTTAGAGCTCCTCTGGGATGGGGAGGTGTGGAGCTGTGAATGGCTGAGGGGAGGAGAGAGGGACAGGCAGCTGAAGCTCTGCTGCTGGAGGAGAACACAGACCGGAGCGCAGCCCGATGGAGCAGCAGCAGCTCTTCGCCTCGCACGGCTCCTCTTTCATCATGTTCAAATACTTTTAGAAAGAATTTTCCAAATCAACGAGGAATTAAAGACTTCAAGGAGATGATGGATTCTTTACAGCTGATTTATCTTCTGCTGCTTTATGGATCTCTCCCAAAAGTAAGTCCATACCCTATGAATGCTGTTGGGGGTTGAAATCTATACACCTTCAATGCATCTGCTCCTATAAGAGAACGTTTTTCTATTTTTCTTTTGTCTGGTTCAAGGATGTTTCTGCTCATGTGTCTCCTCCAAACATCTTGACTTCTGAAGCATTTTTCATCCCTTTTGTCCGCAGATGAGTCAGAACAAGGTGACGTTCTTTTAGCAGCTGTTTTAGACAGAAATCAACTTTCACTTTAAGTTTAAGGACCTTAATCCAAGGTCATTCTGGCAAATAAGAGACTTTTATATAAACAGCCTCAGCTATGGTTTATTATCCCCCCCCCCCCCCCCCCCCCACACACACACACACACACATTCTTAAAAGGTGGGAGATGATGTTTTCCGTGCAAGCTAAATAACTTATTGGATGGATTTGAATGAAACTGATGGTTTGACTGGATTTCTGTTTTCTTTTTACATTAATTTAATTAAAGATGGCCGTAACAGCCAAAAAGACTAAGGACAATAAAAAAATTCTGTTAGTTTTATAGATATTGAGCTGAAATGTGGGCTCTGGTGTTGCTCAGAATCATTTCAAACGGATTCTTTGAGCACCAAATCAACTTTTGAGGATT